TGGGCGCGGTGCGCGCAGTGCGCCATCTCGCGGTCGTGCTGCACGATCTGCTGGATGATCTCGTTCTCCTGGTAGTTGAACACGCCCGAGTTGAGGTCGTGCTGCACTTTGTGGAGGAGGATGGAGTTCTTCTTGCCTGGGTCACGGAACGCGAGCGGGGGCTCAGGCCAGGGCCGGGGGCTGGGGGGCTGCGGGTCCCCCCTTCCCACCGGGCCGGGGCTCGGTCTCCCCCCTTCCCACCGGGCCGGGGCTCGGTCTCCCCCCTTCCCACCGGGCCGGGGCTCGGTCTCCCCCCTTCCCACCGGGCCGGGGCTGGGTCTCCCCCCTTCCCACCGGGCCGGGGCTGGGTCTCCCCCCTTCCCACCGGGCCGGGGCTGGGTCTCCCCCCTTCCCACCGGGCCGGGGCTCGGTCTCCCCCCTTCCCACCGGGCCGGGGCTCACCCCCCCACCGCGCCTCCCCCCGGCCCCTCACCGATGCGGTCCAGGCGGTCCAGCGCCACGGTCTCGAAGGCCCGCCGCATCATGGGGTACTCCTCCAGCACCTCATTGAAGTTGTCCACGCTCAGCGAGTACAGGCGGCAGTAGGTGTCCGCCCTGACGCTGGCCGTGCGCCGGCCCCGGGTCAGCAGGCAGATCTCTGCAGGACAGGAGCGCTCAGCGCGGGAGGGCTCAGTGTGGGGAGGACTCAGCGTGGGGAGGGCTCAGTGTGGGGAGGACTCAGCGCGGGGCGGACTCAGCGTGGGGAGGGCTCAGCACGGGAGGACTCAGCATGGGAAGGGCTCAGCACGGGAGGACTCAGCACGGGAGGGCTCAGCACGGGAGGACTCAGTGTGGGGAGGACTCAGCGTGGGGAGGACTCAATGTGGGGAGGACTCAGCGTGGGGAGGACTCAGTGTGGGGAGGACTCAGCGTGGGGAGGACTCAGTGTGGGGAGGGCTCAGCGTGGGGAGCACTCAGCACGGGAGGACTCAGCGTGGGGAGCACTCAGCACGGGAGGACTCAGCGTGGGGAGCACTCAGCGTGGGGAGGACTCAGCACAGAGGACTCAGCGTGGGAAGGATTCAGTGTGGGGAGCACTCAGCATGGGGAGGGCTCAGCATGGGGAGGGCTCAGCATGGGGAGGGCTCAGCACAGAGGACTCAGTGTGGGGAGGACTCAGCACAGAGGACTCAGCGTGGGAAGGATTCAGTGTGGGGAGCACTCAGCACGGGAGAGGACTCAGTGTGGGGAGGGCTCAGCATGGGGAGGGCTCAGCACAGAGGACTCAGTGTGGGGAGGGCTCAGCATGGGGAGGGCTCAGCACAGAGGACTCAGTGTGGGGAGGACTCAGCATGGGGAGGGCTCAGCACAGAGGACTCAGTGTGGGGAGGACTCAGCGTGGGGAGGACTCAGCGTGGGGAGGATTCAGTGTGGGGAGTACTCAGCCTGGAGAGGACTCAGCCTGGAGAGGACTCAGCCTGGAGAGGACTCAGCAGGGGGAGGACTCAGCACAGACAGGACTCAGCGCGGGGAACACTCAAGCATGGGGAGAACTCAAGCATGGGGAGGACACAGCAGGGAGAGGACTCAGCATGGGGAGGACTTAGTACAAGGAGGACTCAGCACAGGGAGGATTCAGCACGGGAGGACTAAACATGGGGAGAACTCAGAACAAGACAGTATTCAGCCTGGGGAGGACTCCGCATGGGAGAAGCACCAGGGCCTTGATCTTGGGGCCCGCTGCTTGGTACAGCGGCTTCACAGGCCCTCGATGCACCATCCTAGGCTGAAGCTACAGTAGACACCCACACCTCCCTACCACAGAGGTATGTCAGCTGCGCTCTCTGCACACTCCGGAGATGACCTGAAACGCCAGCTCAGGGCGGGATCTGCAGGCAGGGCTTCGGGAGGTGACCATATCACACCGGTGCAGCTGGCATAAATTTCATGAAGTGGCCGGCGCCAGTGGCTCACACCTGTCATCCTAAGTACTATGGACGCTGAGATCTGAGGATCGTGGTTCAAAGCCAGCCCAGGGCAGGAAAATCCCTGAGACTCTTAACCTCCAATGAACCACCAGAAGACCAGAAGTGGAGCTGGAGCTCAGCATGGTCGAGTGCGAGGCTTGGGCAAAAAGAGCTGAGGGACAGCGCCCAGGCCCAGAGTTCAAATGAATGAATGATAAATAACTCGCTGAGAGCCACAGCATTCATGGGAAGAGGCCACAGCAAGATGGCGGTCATCTGCGACCGCGAAGGGGCCCCTCAAGAGAACCCCAACCTCTGGCCGAGTCCCAGCCTCTGGAGCTGTGAGACACGATGAACTTGCGCTGTTGATAAAAGCTGCCAGAACTCGGGGATCCCCACTAGCCAGCTCACCTCCAAAATAGGAGCCGTCAGCCAGCTTGGTCTCCTTGTTACCCTTGGTGAGCACGCTGACCACGCCGTGCTGGATGAAGTACATCTTCTTGCCGATGGTGCCTTCGCGGATGATGTAGTCCCCGGGCTGGAAGACCTCAAAGCGCAGCTTGGTCAGCATGGACGTCACGAAGTTGGGGTCCGCGTTGGCGAACAGCGGCATGGAGGCCACCAGCTTCCGGCAGTTGAAGTTGATGATCTCCTGTGTGTGTGGGGGGGGGGAGTCGGAGTTAGGATGCAGGAAGGAGGGGGGTGGAGGAACATCCCCCCACCCCCCCCCGCCCAGGCTCCCCTCCAGCTCACCTCGCGCAGCGGCTCGCTCAGCTCACCCAGGATGCTCTCCTCGTCGAACATCTTGCCTTGGTAGCGGTGCTCGTAGTAATCGTGGATCCGCTGCCGCGTGTCGGGAGGGAGCTTGTGGAAAGACATGTACTGCTCCACCTGCTTGTACTGTGTGTGTGTGGGGCGGGGGGATTGGGAGGAAGAGAAAGGTGGTCACCTCTAGGCAGCCTGCCCAGCTGCACCAGGATTACAGGCATGCGCTACCATGCCCAACCTGGCTGACTTCTCCTTCTCTGCCATGTTGAGTGGCCTGGAATTTCTCTTCCACGTTTCCTCCCGCTGCTTCCCCTCAGCAAGCCTGCCCCCCCAGCTCTGCAGATTCTCCTGAGCCCTCTCCTTGTTTTGTTGCAGTGGGGTCTTGCTGATCTGAAACTCATGATCCTCCTGCTTGAATGCTGGGATTATAGGTGTGTGCCACCACGCCCAGCTCACTGCTGTGTGCGGAGTGGACTGGCAGAGCGGATGAATACTGCTCACTCTGTCAATGTGGCATCAAGGGTCTGACTCGCAGAACCTCCCAGACACCCATCCACCGCCTTATGGACAGGTAACAGCCATTGCTGGTCAGTCTGCAAGCGAGGCTGAGATCATCAGGAAGCTGCAGCAGTGGCCTGGGGTCGCTGCTGGGGTGGACTAAAGGGAGAGGCCCGCCTGCTCGGAGGCGGGCATCCACAGCAGAGCTGGGGTTTCTGCCTCAGTGTCTGCGTGAAGGGTGGTGATCTGGAGCGGAGGGGCAGGGGAGATGTGACGGGAGATAGGGGACACGCATGGAACCCTCCAGAGCTGAGAATGAAGCCCAGCCTTTGCAGTTCGTACATGGACACGTGTGAGGGCGGCGTGGAAGGTCGTCACGCCTCAACAAACTACCAGAGGGGAGGAGGGCCAGGCCAGGAAGGAAGGAAACCCAGCGCTGTCATCATGGAAACCAAGTGAGCCATACATAGGCCTGGGACCTGCTGAACACTGACAGGCTGAGCAAAGACCCAGAAAGATCTACTGGTTGAAGGATCAACAGAGAGACTGACACGCCACTGAGGGAGGAGGGCAGGCACAAGTCAGGAGGCCTTGATGGAGCCGGGCGCTGGTGCGCACACCTGTCATCCCAGCTACTCAGGAGGCTAAGAGCTGAGGATCGTGGTTCAAGGCCAGCCTGGGCAGGAAAATCTGTGAGACCCTTATCTCCAATGATCTACCAAAAAAGCCACAAGTGGCGCTGTGGCTCAAGTGGTAGAGCGCTAGCGTTGAGCACAAAAGTTCAAGGACAGTGCCCAGGCCCTGAGTTCAAGCCCAAGGACTGAGGAGCACGTGCACACAGAGACTCACAGGGCCCTTTCTGGGTTTCAGGCCAGAGAGCTGATGGGAAATCTCATCTAGGAGGTGTCCCCAGCGCCACCCCGCAGCCTAGATCACAGGCAGGGCTGGCACCCGCGGGCTGCCCCTGCGTTGTTCCCTCTGGCCAAGGCTCCGGCCTACCTTCTCCTGGTACTGGCGCCGAGAGGAGTCCAGGGACTGGATGAGGGCGGTGGCGTGGCCGATGAACATGGCGTAGCAGGTGGCGCCCACGATCATGCTGAGCATGGTGAGCCACACGTCCGACATGCCCACGGGCGCCTGCCGCCCGTAGCCGATGCACAGCATGTGGCTCATGGCCTTGAAGAGGGCGTAGGAGTACTGCTTCCCCCACGAGTTGTTCTGCGGACGGACGGGGCACCGGGCTGAACGGGCTGGGCCAGGGGCAGGCGGGGCCCTGCTCGCTCGCCCCCTAGATTTGCTGCCCCCCCAGCCTGACTTTCCCAGTGGCTAAACTTGGGGCTCCCCACCCCCCCAGACCGGTTCTTGCTTTGGCTGATGGTGAGGGACAGGGAGACCCCATTTCCTCTTACAGTGAGGGACAGGGATCCAGCTGGAAATGGGAGCGAGGAGACCAGGGTAGCCCCCGCGGGGTAGCCTGGAGCCTCTTTGGCTGAATAGCAAGTTCTGCAAGCTGAATCACTCCCCTACCTCGCTGTCCCTAGCTGGTCAACATATGCCCACTCGCACCCCAAACCACTGCTAAGCAAAGCCCACGCCCCTACTGACCTTCACTACAAAACCAGACACTCCCCCCGGGGGCTGGGGGACAGCGGGGCAGTCAGAGCCCCCCAAACCTGGTCCTCCTTTGACGATTCAAGTGGAAGTTAACCCCCACCCCCACCCCATGGAAGGAAGCCTGTCCACCCACCCGGGGCTGTGGCCACTAGCTCCGCTCCCACTGCCTCAGAGGTGGCCTGCAGAGGAGGTGACGAGGAGGCTCGTGGCTATATCTGTCTCCAAAGCCAGCCGGTGGTGTCGCCAAGAAGGCTCGGCGTGGGCACACTTCCGGAATGCAGTGTGCCAGGGGCCTGTCCCCTTCCCATCCAGAGGCCCTGTGCCTCGCGGGAAGTCACCAGTGACCCCACACACACCCGCCCCCTCCCCACTGGCAGGAACCCAAGCCAGTGTGCCCGCCTGCCGTCCCTGCCCTGAGCCCTGCGAACTCCCCTAGCACCGGGCTGCCCGCAGCACCTGCAGGGGGGCAGGCCCAGGACCTCAGAAGCCAGGGCCAAGTTCAAGGTCAACCGTGCTGGGCAGGGCTGGGCTCCTGCCTTGAGCACAGCGGCTCAGTCCACACCAGGGCAGGGCGGGCAGAGCTGGCTGGCTCCCGGGAGTGGAAGGGGTCTGGGGAGCCCAAGGGCAGCCCCCCCCCCGAGTTGCCTATGTTTTAGGGGAGGAAGGGGAGCTTCCAGACGCATTGCTGAGCCTCTGGGGGAGGGGCACGGGGGGGGAGGGGGAGGCTCAATCCCCAGGCCTGGCTGGGCGCATTCATTTACACTTAGCTCATCAAAAGGCTGTTCTGCAAAGGCCTGTGGGATGCTGGAAGACCTTGGGGTCTCTTTTTCCCTCCCCTGGGGCCCTGGGCATTTGCTTTCAGACCAAACCACACACTGCCTAAGGCGGGGAGGACAATCAGTAGCTCATCACAGCCAGAGAAAGGCTCACGGGTTTGGATTTTTTTGGGGGGAGAGGAGGGTCTTTCCACCCCCATGGGAGGCTGTTCCTGCCCAAGCAGGGCTGGGGGTGGGGGGGCTCTTCCTCATGGCTTCTAGGGCTCCAGGTACTTACCCAGCTGCAGGGCTGGAGGGGACGGGAGGCCAGGCTGCCATCTGCCTCTCCATGGCTGGTGTGCATGTGTATGCACGTGCGTGCATGTGTGTGTGTGTATGTGTGTGTGTGTGTGTCTGTCTGTCTGTCTGGGAGCCAGGCATCCCAGCTCTACCTCTGGAGCAGAAAATGTTCCTGTCTAATAATCTGGTCATCCGTGTGGGCTAGAGATGTCTAATTCCTGGGGTTCAGCTTCTAGGGGGGGGCAGCAGATCTGAGGTCACATCCGGTCCCGGGGGCCTTAAGTCTTCTTGGATGGCATCAGGCCACACTGTGTAGCTGCGATGGTTGAAAGGGGGCAGCGACAGTTCACAGCCAAGGGCTGCAGATGGCATCGGGCACGGGGTCCGGGAGACGAGGGCCCCTCGGGGGAGGCGGGGGGCGGGGCGCACTCACCACCATGCCGTTCATGGACACCCAGCAGTCGTGCGGGAAGTCCTGCAGCATGGGCACCAGGAACTGCAGGCAGCCGTCCCAGTGGCACAGCAGCAGCATCATGCCGATGAGGTTCACGATGCGCACCACGGCGCTGGCTAGGTCGTAGGTCATGTGGAAGATCTGCCGGCAGAGGTGCGGGGTGAGGGGCGCAGGCGCCGCCCCGCCCCATGGCCACCATTGCCGGCCACACGCAGGCCAGGCCGGATCAGAGGAGAGACAGCTGGGCCTGAGCCCCCCCAAGAGGTAAGAATTACAGGCTGTGGGGTCCCAGAGAGGGGGCCCGGGGCGGGCCTAGGGTCACCTACAGGAGATACAACCGTCAGACTATGTGGATCCTAGTGTAGACCATGCACAGTCTGAGAAGACACCTTGTTGGTATACCAGCCGCACACCTGCCATTCCAGCTACTTAGGAGGCTGAGCTCTGAGAATCATGGTTCAAAGCCAGCCAGGGCAGGGAAGCATAAGACTCTGATCCCCAATAAACTATCCCCATCCCCAAAGGGGGAAAACAAAGACAAACCACAGACATGGAACTCTGGCTCGAACGGTTTACATGCTAACCTTGAGCAAAAGCAGCTCAGAGACAGTGCCCAGGCCCTGAGTTCAAGCCCCAGCACGAGCACGAGATAACCTTGTGGATACAGGATGCTCTCCAGGAGCCATGGTTTAGAGTCAGGCCCAGGGCTGGAACTTAGAATCTCTGAATCCAGCCCAGGAGCCTACAGTGAGGGCAAAGTCAGCCCTCAGATGGGGGGGGGGAGCAGCCTTGGGCCACAGGCTCCACGTTCCTCCCCCGCCCCCCAGGCCCGGAATCTACCCAACTCCTAGCCGCACTGATCTTGAAAAGAATATAAACCCAACCTCTCTGATCATGTTTTTCTTGTCATCTGGAAAATGGTGATAAAAACGTCTTAGCGGAACGAGTTGTCAAAAAGATTAAATTATACATATAAAGTGCTTACTTAATACTGAGTAGAGAAGTATTGGATAAATTACAAGCCGTAATGAACTGCTAAGTTGTTATTAATAATTCATCTTCCCTTAGCAAGTGTAAGTAGTAATGCTCTAGGGTGTTTTTTTGGGGGGGTTGTTGCTTGCATCAAGGATGGCGGCCCCCTGAGCCCCGGCCCCCAGCCCCCCTCCACTCCTGAGGCTCCAAGGAGGCTGTGGCAGGGCAGCGTGGACCTGCCCAGTATCCCTGCTCGCTTCCCCTTCCTGACGTTACGCACGCTGGCGTCTGGCAGGAGTCACCATGGGGATGGTACAGCGAGGCAGGCAGGGCTGGGGAGTCTAAGGCAGGCCTGTAGAGGTCCTGGCCAAGGAGGAATGGGCTTGGGGTGGCTCCAGCCACCAAGCTTTAGTTCTGCTCCCTCAACAGTGGGCAAATGCACTGCTTCTGGAAAGGGGCTTTGGGCCAGAGATCTAATGGAAAGCCATTTCAGAAGAAGAAAGGTGAGGCCCAAAGAGACAGGCTCCAGAATTCCCTCTTCTCAGTCCTGATCCTGAAGATCAAGGCCATGGGCACAGTGGTCCACGGTGGGCAGGACGGAAGGCCCGGAGCTGGGCCCTGCTGAGACCGGGCTGGGGTCCCAGAGGCAGGCCGACTCCTAATGCTCAATGATCTGTCTCCAGATGGACGCGTCCCAACCCCCACTCTTCCCTGTCTCCCATCTAGTGCCACTGGTGTCGCATCTGCTCAGCCTAGGCCCTTGGGCCCACATCCTGCAGAGACATCTCCAGATTTTCTACTCCAGTCCAATCCCAGAAGAACCCCCCGATTAGACTCTTGGGCCTTCCAGTCCAGCTGAGCAGCTAGAAAGTAACCTTCAAGACATCAAGTGGGGGCTGGGAAGGTGGCTCAGTGGTGGAGCGCTTGCCTTGCATACGTGAGGCCCTGGGTTCGATTCCTCAGCACCACATAAGCAGAAAAACCTGGAAGTGGTGCTGTGGCTCAAGTGATAGAGCGCTAGCCTTGAACTGAAGAGCTGAGGGACAGCGCCCAGCCCCAGAGTTCAGACCCCAGGACTGCCAAAAAAATAAAAAGGACATCAAGAGGGCTGTGGTACTCTGACTCCACCTGCAGGCTGTGGCTCCCGTGGCCTCTGTGGCCTGGATTCCAACCAGTCCACCTCCCTCCCTGTGCGCGCGGTCCCCTCCTGCAGCTGCCCTGGAGATCTGCAGGCCCCAGCCAGTTCTTACTGGCCTCAGTACGTGGCTAATTCCCACCTGCTGTATGTTCTTCCTTCAGCTCCTTCTATTGACAGCCATTTCATGGAAAGGCCCTACAGCCCTGTGAGAAGCAGGCCCAGCTCCTCCCGGCCACCCTCCCCGGGGATGGACTCTTGGCCTGATTCATTTCCTCTGTGGCAGGAAAATCACATTTACTGCCAGTGGTGGTAGCACACGTCTATAATCCCAGCAACTCCGGAGATGGAGAGCTAAAAGATGGTGGTTCCAGGCCACCCTGGGCACAACAAGATAATTTATCTGAAAAAAAGTAATAACCTAAATGCTGGGCACTGGTGACTCATGCCTGTCATCCTAACTACTCAGGAAGCTGAGATTTGAAGGCTGAAGTTCACAGCCAGCCCAAGCAGACAAATCCATGACACTCTGATCTCCAATTAGCAAAAAAAAAAAAAAAAGCCAGAAGTAGAGGTATGGTTCAAGTGGTAGAGTGCTAGCCTTGCGTGAAAAAGCCACACAAGACCTCCAGGCCCTGAGTTCAAGCACACACATAATAAATGAATAACCTCAACAAACAAAAAGGCCTGGTGGTGTGGCTCAAGTGGTAGAGCAGGGGCTGGGAAGGTGGCTCAGTGGTAGAGTGCTTGCCTTGCATGCATGAGGCCCTGGGTTCCATTCCTCAGCACTACATTAGCAGAAAAACCTGAAAGTGGCGCTGTGGCTCAAGTGGTAGAGCGCTCGCCTTGAGCTGAAGAGCTGAGGGACAGCGCCCAGGCCCAGAGTTCAGGCCCCACGACCAAAAAAACTAAAAACAAAACCAAGTGGTAGAGCACTTGCCTAGCAAATGTAAGACCCTGAATTTAAACCCTAGTACTGCCAAGTAATAATAATAATAATTTAAAAACTGACATTTACTATCTGGCTTAATACTCTATGAGATAAAGAGTTCTTTTCTGCATTTTGCACTTCGGTATTCCTCCATGCTTAGCAGGGAGGCCTTTCAAACACCTGCTAGTTGCTCGGATATCTGTGTAGATGCTTAGCTGAATGAACGCATGTTGTTGGGGAGGTAATGTTGTATGGCCGGGCCGGGGCGGCCAGGCCTCAATCCCAACTCCTGTCTACCAGCCGCTCTGGCTCGCAGAGAAAGAAGCATCTGGGCTGGCCTGTGTTCACACAATGTCTTCAATTCTTCTTTGCCTACTTTTTCATTTTTTCTTTCCTTCATAATTGATTTTCTTCCAAGATGGCGTCTTTTCTGTCTCCTTTTTTGCCTTTGCCACTACCGACGCAGGGCTCAGGAGCTGTGGAGCACTCTGTGGCACTGGGAATCTGGGGGTGCGCTGGGAAGACACAGCACAGCCCCCCCCCCCGCCAGGTGAACGAGGGCCCGGGTGGAGGATAGGTGCAAGGTTCTGACTGCAGAGCCTTGCAGATCCAAATCCGAGCTTCCAGGGGGACGCCACTGGCCGCATCCCAAGCACTGGACAGCACCCAGGATGTGGTTGCTGAGAGCCAGGTTGGCTGTTGTTGGGAGAAACGGCTCGAGGCTGTGTGCGCCGACCACGGGCTGCGGGACCAGCCACCTGCCCATCAGCTGCGCTGGGTCAATATTTGCCTTGCTCTTTATATTTCATTAAAACTTGCTTTCACGATGTTGGTTCTCCCTCGGGGAGGGTGGGGGGGCCGAGCATCTTCCTCTCCAGGTCGCCCCAGGCCGCCCCAGGCCTCGCCAGGCAGATAGGCCCCTCCTACCCTCTGGGAGGCCACGCCCACTCCCCTGCCACACCTCCCCTGCGCCTCACTCTCCTAATCTGTGGAATGGGTCAGCAGCTGCAAGCTCCCAGATCGGCCTTGGGAATCACGTCCACGTGGCTCACCGTGGGTAGTGTGCGCATAGCGGGTTCCTTCCCTTCCCTTCCTCTCCCAGCACCGGAAATGGTCAGTCAAGCTGCCTGGGGCTTCCTCTTCCTGGGACCTGTTGCATTCCTCTCCAGAGCCTCATTTGCTCCACCTGGAAAACCAGGAACTTCCGGGGCCTCTCAGGACCCACGGCGGGAGGCACGGTATGCCGCTGCAGCCAGGGTCCAGCCCCAGCCTCCCTCCAACCCCACGACCTCGCCCCACTGCGCCCCCGAGGCTGACAGCTGGAGGAACCATCAGGGTCCACCCAGCCGCTCAGGCCTGGCATCCTGCCTCCAGCCTGCTGGGAGAAGAGAAGCTTCTGGAATGGGTCGCTGGAGTGCAGGGGAACAGCTGAAGGGGGGAGGAGGGGGCAACCGAGGTTTCTAACAATAGCCCTGGAGCCTGTAACAAGCTCACACCTCAGAGGGAGGGCCAGGCTGGCTGGGGGAGGCCAGGCAGGGAGGCTGCTGACCTAGATCTCCCGGGGACAGAAAGACGGAGGCTGGGGTCCCTGCCAGCACCGTCCTCGCCTAGCCCCCCCCCCCAGCGCCTTCCTTTAAGCCCTGTCAGCCACGAGCAGGACCTCAGCACAGGTTCTGTTTTTACCAAGAGATACTTGAGCCTGAGCTGGGGGGGGGGGATGATGAAGAGGAGAGGGAAGGTGGGGGGGGGTAGTGGAGAGGAGAGGGAGGTAGGGGGGGCAAGCCTCAGAAAACACCAGCACGCCGTTAGCTGAGGAAACGGAAGCCCAGCAAGGAAGAGATCAGAGCGCTCCTGTGACCCGGACACCACCCCCCCCCGACCCCCCCAGCCCTCCCCAGCAAGCTGAGCCTGAGAGAAACTTGGGGCCCAAGAGGGCTGACAAGATGGGGTTCATGAAGCCAGCTGGGAAAGCCCAGTCCAATCCCAGGGGTTCAGGGCTGTGTGCCCTGCCGCCTAGAGAAATGAGCTCAAAGCAATTTCCTCTGCAGCTGGTAGGAGAGATAAGGGTGTGCAGGGGTGTGTGGGGGGGCACAGAGCTACCCATCTGGCCTCCTGGGATCTCCCTGCCTGCCAAGTAGATTGAGTAGCAATGTCCAGGTCAGGACCCCCCGAGGGCCCCCTGGGGCCTCTGCCTTCCCAGCGACAAGGCCCAGGCTACACACAGCCTAGCTCACCACGTCTGGACGGTCCAGAATGGAGCCGGGCTGTGCAGATGGCAGCCCTGGGTCTGAGCTCCTGGCATGAATGACCACGACCCCCCGCAAGGGCCCAGGACTACCAGGGGAGCAAGGCTGGCCTCCAGGGGTCGCTGCGGCTTCCACGGAGGCGCCATTGATGACAAATGGGGCAGTGGAGAAGCCAGCAGGGTCTTGCATTTCTACCTGTGATGGGCATTCTGGGAAATAATGCCTTCCTCCTTCCTTCACAGCGCGGGGCGGCCATCCCCCGACCCCCTCTCCCCCCCCCCCACTGTCCCTTCTCCATCCTGACCGCAGACTCCCCCCACCCCCTCCCTCCACCTCTCAGGGATCTCCAACCCATCCGACCCCCCCCCGTGTCCCCCACGCAGGTCAGAGCACAGCTGGATGGTGAGCATCTGGAGTGAGTGGGGGCAGGGCACCCAGTGAAGGGCACCAGAGGGAGCTTCATGGCATCGGAGGAGCAGAACAGAAGGGAGATCCTCCGTCATACAGATCCCACCACTGAGTGGCACAGCGGCCCCTTCGGATCGGATCAGTCTCCTCGCCAGGTGAATGGGGGCTAAGCCCCGCCCTGTGTACCACGAGTAACCAATGGCCTGCTGCTAACACATTGGGGGAGGAGTGTTTATTAAAGAACTTCTTTTACTCAGGGCCTGGGTGCTGTCCAGCTCAAGGCTGGTGCTCTACCATTTGAGCCACAGCTCCACCTCCAGCTTTTTGGCAATTCATTAATTCATAGGAGTCTCGTGGCCTTTCCTTCCTGAGGCTGGCTTTGAACCACAGTCCTCAGATCTCAGCCTCCTGAGTAGCTCGGATGGCAGGCATGCCCTACCAGGGCTTGGCTTTTAAATGGCTCTTCTACATCAGGGCCTGGCTATTAAGTGGCTTTTTTTTTTTTTTTACAGCAGGGTGAAGGTCTCTACAAACATCAGATTCTATAGTCACCCATTCTGCAGATAAAGAGAACAAGGCTCAGAGTCAAGGGAGCAGAGCAGGGCCACACGCTCACACAGTGTGGAGTTGGGGTTTAATTTGGGTCTCCAATGTGCCGTTCCAATTCGAAAGCCCACCAGGAGCCAGGCGCTGGAGGCTCACACCTGTCATCCCAACTACTCAGGAAGCGGAGATCTGAAGATCGTGATTCAAAGCCAGCCTGGGCGGGAAAGTCTGTGAGACAGGGTATCTCCAATGAACCACCAGAAAACCAGAAGTGGAGCTTTTGGCTCAAAGTGGTAGAGTGCTAGGCTTAGGTTAAAAAAAAAAAAAAAAAAAAAAGCTCAGGGACAATGCCCAGGCCCCAAGTTGAAGGCCCACAATGCAACAGGAAAAAAAAGTCACCGGGATCCTGTTACCTGGACCAGGGGCTGCCATGCTCCTGGGAGCGCAGATCCCTCGGCTCCCGCCCGTCCTTCCTCCCGACCTTCAGTGAGTCATGGTCCCTGTTTATCAGCAGGAGTCATGCAAATGCTCCAAGCCACAAAAGTGTATTTCTGCCAGTGTGGGGGGGGGCGGCATTCTGCCGAGCTGGTATAGGCCCTTCGGAGACACGCGTGTTTGCGATGACTCTGACCTGAATCTGCCAAGGGCCCCGCCTGTCAGCCGTGGGTGCAGCAGCCACGTGGGGAGGAGGAGCGGTGCTGGCGGGGACTGTGGACCCAGATCGTGGCCTTTCCACGCAATTCAGGCCTTCTTGGAGACTGGGGACCCACAGACCCGGCCGACAATCCCCATCAGCACGGCCCTCTCCAAGCCCAGAGGAAGGGGTCACAGAGCCCCTCACCCGCAACCCCAGAACCCCCAGGCTGGCCTGCAGGTGTCAAAGCAAGTACTCAGTAGTGACAAACACACCTCTGGGTTCCCAACAAGGTCACTGGCCACATCTTTTCCTCTAGAGACAAGCACCCAGCCCACGGATGAGCTAGGGTTCTTCAAAACTCATTTGCAGGTGTTTTTGTTGTTGTTGTTTGTTTCGTGTTTTGGTCATGGGGCTTGAACTCTGGGCCTGGGCGCTGTCCCTCAGCTTTTCAGCTCAAGGTTAGTGCTCTACCACTTTGAGCCACAGCACTACTTCCGGTTTTCTTGTGGTTCATTGGAGATAAGAGTCCCACAGACTTTCTTGCCCAGGCTGGCTTTGAACTGAGATCCTCAGAACTCACCCTTCCAGAGTAACTAGGCCCCCATCATGGGGCTTGAACTCTGGGCCTGGGTGCTGTCCCTGAGCTCTTCAGCTCAAGGCTAGCGCTCTACCACTTGAGCCACAGCGCCACTTCCAGCCTTTTCTGTTTATGTGGTGCTAAGGAATCAAACCCAGGGCCTCAAGCATGTGAGGCAAGCACTCTATCACTGAGCCACCTTCCCAGCCCCGTGTTTGTTGGTTTTTTAATGTGTGGTCCTGGGATTTGAATTCCAGCCTGGGTGCTGTCCCTGAGCTATTTATTTATTTATTAGCTCAAGGCAGCTACTCTACCACTTGAGCCACACCTGCACATCTAGCTTTCTGAGGGGCAACTAATTGGCAATAACAATCTCACAGACTTTCCTGCCTGGGCTGGCTTCAAACGAGGATCCTCAGGACTCAGTCTCCTGACTTGCTAGGATTACTGGCAGGAGCCACCATTGACTTAGTTTCTGTTGTAATGTTGTGCAAAGGAACCCAGGATCTTGGGGGAGGGGCCACAACCTGCGCAGAGGCTGGCCAGGCTGCTGGCTGAGGCCTGAGAGCGCCCTGCAGACTGCCTTGTGGGCAGAGACATTCCAGCTCTTTTCTTCTGACTGGGAAATGCCCAGCTGTGGCACAGACGGTTTCAGCCAATCCCCACTGAACTTTGATGCCCTGCCCTCAAGGGCTGCCCATCTCTGTCTCCTCCCTCCCTCTCCCCCCCCTGCTCCTCCCTTCCCCCATCACATTCTTACAGAGCCTCATCTCCTGGGTTGCTCTAGAACAGCCAATGTAAAACCACTGTGAACACCGGTCGCCTGTCATCCTAGCTACTCAAGAGGCTGAGATCTGAGGATTGCGGTTCAAAGCCAGACCAGGCAGGAAAGTCCATGAGACTCTTATTTCCAATAAACCACTAGAAAACCGGAAGTGGTGCTGTGGCGAAAGTGGTAGAGCGCTCGCCTTGAGCTGAAGAACTGAGAGACAGAGCCCAGGCCCAGAGTTCAAGCCCCATGACCGACTAAATAAATAAATAAAACCACTGTCAAGAAAAAATTTACCAAAATCAGATTTCCATCATGCTGAATCTGTAGCTCTAAGAACGCTGAGGCCATTCTTCCACAGCAGCAGCTAACCAGGGCTGAGCAGAGGTTGCCCAATCCAGGCAGGTGCATTCCCTAGCTCTTTCTCGTCAGGACCCCACAGCTCCAAATGTCCCCCAAATGGCCCTTTTTTGGCCTTTGGAGTTTACACAACCCCAATTGTGTCTCCTCTCCCATGTGTGTATCTATAGTTGGCCGCTTCCGCCTGCCATTTCACCAATCATCAGGCATGTAACCAGGGGTAAAATCGCTTCACTTTTCAGTTTCCTTGCGCTAAACGCAAGTTCTCGTGCACCCACGTGGCACCCTTTATGGTTGCTATGGACCTGGGTGGGACAGTGTGTATCAAATGCTTTGGGCAGCATCACACACGTGATATGCAGTCCAGAAAGGACTAGTATTTGTCCTCTTGGAGTACGTATGCCTGCTACAATTGGACAGTCGTGTCCAGCAACCTGAGATTTCAGAAGACGGGTGGTCTGGCCACTTACCTCCTCCCACTGGTGAATGTATCGGATCAGGCGTGAGAGCCGCAGGAGGCGGAGGAGGCTGAGGATCTTGGTGAAGCGGACGATGCGCAGGGCCCTGGCGGTCTTGTAGACCTCAGAATCGATGCGCGTCTCCACGATGAGGAAGATGTAGTCCACGGGAATGGAAGAGACGAAGTCCACCACAAACCAGCTCTTGAGGTACTTCATCTTGATGCGCTGCGGGTCGAGGATGATCTCAGTGTTGTCCTCCACGACGATCCCCGTGCGGAAGTTCAGGACCAGGTCGACCAGGAAAAAGGTGTCAGACACCACGTTGAAGACGATCCAGGGCGTGGTGTTCTCGTCCTTGAAGAAGGTGATGCCCACAGGGATGATGATCAGGTTTCCCACCATCAGCAGCAGCATGGTCAGGTCCCAGTAAAATCTGCCGGGGAAAACACAGGACTCGAGTCACCAGGAGAGGGGAGAGACTAAGGGAGGGTGCTCCAAGGGTGAGCCAATAGGAGCCAGAGAAGTCTTGTGTATATAGTTGTTTTGCTTTGTTTTTTGCCAGTCCTGCGGCTTGAACTGAAGGCCTGGGGCACTGCCCCTGAGCCTGTCTGTACTCAAAGCTAGCACTCTACCACTTGAACCACAGCACCACTTCTGGTTTTTTGCTTTTTTTTTTTTTTTTTCTGAGTAGTTTACTGGAAATAAGAGTCTCACAGACTTTCCTGCCTGGGCTGGCTTTGAAGCACGAACCACAGATCTCAGCTTCCTGAGGAGCTAAGATGACAGGCGTGAGCCACCAGTGCCCGGCTGGAAGAGGCTCTTCATGCACTACGAATGCCCTCTGCCCTGCAGTGGGGGGACAAACCTCCTCCATCTTTCCCCTCCCCCCAGGAGAGTTCTGCTGACACGCAAAGCATGCAGGGGCCCCGAGGGAGGGAAAGAGAGGCTGTTTTAGGGTCCGATCACCCCAGCTCCTCCAGACGGAGGCTGGGCTTCCAGGCACATGCCACACACACCGTGACCAGAGGACAAGGAGGTGTCCAGGCCTGTGCCCGGTGCCCGGGAGGTAAGAGTCCTTGGCCCTAGTCCAGGCTCTGCCGTGGATAATACAAGGAGACGCTGAAGGGGTCCCTCTTCACCCTGGGCCTCAGTTTCCCTACTTTGCCATGACTCCTGTCATTCCGATCTGCCCCTCCCCCTCAGCTGGCTCCCTGGAACCCCACCCCCATTACTGAGCAAATGTCTGACCATCTCACTTCCTCACAGGGCTTCTCTTCCCAGCCATCAGATGCCCCACTCGACCTCCAAGAACCCACTAGCCCTCGAGGGCACCCCCCCTCACTGCACCCCTTTCCCCTGGGGCCCAGAAGCACCCGCCGCACCCTCTGCCTACCAGGGTCTCGGGGCAGAGCTCCTCCGAGAGGTGGAGCAGAGCGAGGTGGCACACAGCCGGCTCTTTAGTCTGCGCTGGGGCTGATCTGCCCCCAGAACTGGCAAAGGCCTTCTGCCGTGTGCAGCCAGCACTGCCACGCCCAGACCCACACCTGCGAGGCCTGGCCGCTCCGCCCAGGCCCCTGCCCAAGCACCGAGCCCCACAGCTTGCTGGACAAAGATCACAGGTCAGGCAGAAGCAAGCATCCTCCTCCAGGATAAGTGACCTTTCGGCCAGAAGGAAAGACAGGGTGGGGAACAGGCCAGTATTCTCAAGTCTTCAGGGGGGGGTCTCCCCAAAATCTGGATGGACTTCGGCCTGAAGAGTTCCATGCTTGCCAAGAAATTACTTCACTGCAAATTGTTCTCTTTGCCAGAGTCAACGTGGTGCCGGGAGTGGAGAAGCAGGGCCAGCATGGGCAGGAAGGGCGCCATCCAGAGGCAGCTTCTAGAAGCTTCTTTGAAAGTCAAGCCCTTGAGGATCTCAAGACAGGGGCCTCATGGGGGGGGGTTCTCTCCTTCTCCAAGAACCCACTGGGCCTTGAGGGCACCCCCACACACACACACAGCCTCCACACCCTCCTGAAAAGAACACAGCACTAGCCCATGAGGCCTGGGGCCTAGGAGAATGGCACCAACTACTATGGAATGTTCTGGAGTTGGAAGCACCGCCCAGCCACATTCACACCACTCACCAGCAGCTGCATGCACTCGGCGGGTAACCATTGACACACACACACAGTGTGTCACACACCATGCGTGCACGCTACCATTCCTGTCCATTTAATCTCCCGGGGGGGGGGGAAAAAGAAAACAAAAAAGCAAAAAACAAAACAAAACCCCAATGCTGTAGCACAGAGAAGCCACCAAGGGCCCACGTGCTCCTCTGTACATAAAGCTAATAATACACCCAGGCTAGAAGAGTTTCTAAAATTAACAGATTAGGCGCAAGGCGGCGGGGAATGCTGACTCGGGCAGGCCTGCCTCTCCAGCGCATTGCTCCACCACCCCCCCAGCTCCCTCAATTACAGACCAAATTCAAGACAGTAATTAACAGGAGAATGTTTGCATTTAGTGGTCTTCATAAAACTAAATTACATGAGGCAAAAACACCCATTTCCTTACATTCTGACTAATTGTCTCAATCTCGAGTTTTCCAGATGCTCAAGATATTGCTGGTGGCTGATCCGGGCTGGGGTCTAAACGCTGGAAGTTCTCTGCCTGTCTGGGATCACCCCAGGACGGCTTGGGGTGTAGCAGAACCGGGCGAAGGAGCATGGATCTGAGGCCAGGTTCCAAACTCCAGTTCCATTCCTATGCCATCATTTACCCACACGTGCCTCAGTTTCCTCACTTATCTGATGATGCTAATCACAAGTCAGGCCTGGGGGTGCACACCTGGAAACCCCAAGAGCTTAGGAGGTCAAGAGGAGGAAGATCGCAGTGTGAGGCCAGTCTGGGCAAAGTTAGAAAGAGCCTGCCTGAAAAAAAAAAATAAGCCAGACGCACGTGATTCACACCTGTCGTCCTAGCTACTCAGGAGGCTGAGATCTGAGGGTTATGGTTCAAAGCCAGCCCAGCTACCAAAGTCCATAAGACTCATGTCTCCAATAAACTACTCAACATTTTTAAAAAAGCTGTTAATGGCACTGTGGTTCAAGTGGTAGAGTGCTAGCTTTGAGCAAAAGCAGCTCAGGAACAGCGTCCAGACCGACTTCAAGCCCCAAGACCGGCACAACAACAACAAAAAGAAAATCGCCAGGCCTCGGTGGCTCACACCTGCAATCCTAGCTACTCAGGAGGCTGAGATCTGAGCATCATGGTTCAGAGCCATCCCAGAAAGTCTGTGAGACTCTTATCTCCAATTAACCACCAGAAAACCAGAAGTGGCGCTTTGGCTCAGGTGGTAGAGCACTAGCCTTGAGCTGAAGAGCTGAGGGACAGTGCCCAGGCCCGGAATTCAAGCCTCACATCTGACAAAAAAGAAAAAAGAAAAAAATCAAAAGGGCCAGGAGTTTAGCTTAAGTGGCAGAATACCTGCCTATCTAGCACAAAAGGGCTGGGTTCAATCCTCAGTCTTGGGTGTGTGTGTGTGTGTGTGTGTGTGTGTGTGTGTGTGTGTGTGTGTGTGTGTGTGTGTGTGTGTGTACCTAACTAGCAAAATCCTAAGGGTGAAATGAATTGATATCTGTTTGTAAAAGTTCTGATCTGTGCCCTATATTATACAGTGAGAAAACAAAACAGATTTGCAGAAGCAGAAGATTAAAATTCTCCAGAGAAGAAAGTACGGAGAGGGGCTGGAGTGGGGGGGGGCACCGTGCATGTGGGAGGGCCAGCGGCTGAAGACGGAGGGGCGGTGGGGGAGGGGACAGTACCTTATTGATCAGCATACAGATAGATCACAGATGAACTCAGCATTTCTGACCTCAGGAAACTGGCCATCCCATTGGATGGGTAAAAGCTTGGGCAGAAGACAGCTGGGCATCTGCACAGGAGGGGGAGGGGGAAAGGGGGAGGGGGGCCCTGGGAGGCCAGGAATGGCTCAGGAAGCGGGGGTGACACTACTCAGGCGCTGGGATCTGCCCTTGGTCTTGTAGCCTGTCCTTCCATTCTTTACCAGCTGGTTGCACAGATCTCTGAAAACCTGGCCCGGGCTAGAGCCAAAGCTTGCGTTCAGCACCACGGACAGCGTCCGTCACGCCTGCCAGCCCGGCTGAGAGGAGTCAGCCAGGGGAAACCAGCCTCCTCAGCCTCCTGGCCCCTCCTCATCCCCGATCGGAGTGCTCAGAGGCATCGCGGGTGACTCGGCGACCTCTGCTCATCAGACTCCCAAACGTTTCCCAGGAGTGGAGCACACGCTCTGTGCTCTATGAATGAATGCGGGGAACCCTCACACCACCACTGCACACGCGGCCGCTTGTGTTTTGCAGATGATCCCTAGGCTCTGCACATGCCGCTGCTTGGCTTTTGCAGATGACCCCCCGGGCTCAAGGAAAAGGGCTTGCAGGGGCAGGACCCTGAGAGGTCTGTCTGAGGGACCCTGGCGAGCTCTTGGGATTCTCGGGTACCTTGGGGGATAGGGGAGGCAGACAAGCCTTCCTGGCACCTTTGCATGCCTCTGGGGAAGTGCTCTGCCACTGCAGGTGCAGCCCCGACCCCATGGACAGGCGAAGAGGAGGGCTGGTGGCCCAACCCTCTCCTGGGTGACAGGCTCCCTCACCAGACAGACATGGGAGCCTCATGCATGGAGTCCCAGCTACTCAGGCGGGCTGAGATTTGAGAACTATGGTTTGAAGCCAGCCCAGGCGGGAAAGTCTTATCTCCAATTAACGACCAAAAAGCCAGAAATGGAGCTGTGGCTCAAGTGGTAGAGCACTAGCCTTGGGAGGAGAAGGGGGAAAAGGTCAGGGAGAGTGCCCAGGCCCTGAGTTCAAGTCCCAGGACTGACACCAAAATAGATAGATAGATAGATAGATAGATAGATAGATAGATAGATAGATAGATAGATAGATAGATAGATAGATAGATAGACAGACAGATTCCCTGATTATCAGCACTGAGGGGGATCAGGCACAGTTGCACTCAGCCTGCAGAAGGGAAAACCAAGGTCCACAAAGGAGAGAAGAGTGACAGCGTTTCCAAACCCTTGAGACAGATGCCCAGTGCTCATCTAGCACCCTACCATTCTAGAACCCCAATCCGAGGTGGCAACCAGGGTGGCAGGGCCATGCCCTTGGGAGCAAAGCAGTAGGCCCCACTCAAGACAGGCTGGAGTGGGCACCTGCCTGAGTTAAGAGGCCTGGGTCTTCCCAAGGCCTTTTTCCTGCCCAGCGGGGGTCGTGGTTAGAAGGCCCAGCGGGGCTCAGCCTGGGGAGTCTAGGTCTGACTTGCTCGCTGCAGGGCCCCCTACCTGGACGGCAGGCCCACCAGGCAGCAGGGGGCCGGTGTTGGAGGCACAAGGCCCAGGCTGGAGCCAATAGGGATGTCTCAACATCTCATGGT